CTCTGATCTTAGGACTTCAGTGAATCTCCTCAATCCTTTTATTTGATCAATTCTATTTCCTAATCTCCTAAGTAAGTACTTTAAACCTATATATCTCTATTGAGGAACCCTACACCAAAGCCTGACCCACTTACTTTAATAAGGCACCATAATTTCCTTCTTCATTAAGAAAAAAACCAAAAAATTTAGTGTCCTAAGAGACAAGAAGAAAGTCAGAGGACTGTGGTATCATAAAAGTGAACTCTTTTGAAGAATCCTCCACCCCGTCTATGAGAACATTAGGTAGGGAATTTCTTAGAGTTCACTTTGGGCTCTCTTCTCTCCTCAATTTCAGAGGTGTGCCTCCTAGACTACAAGTTCTATTACTCTTTTTATGCAAAGGAATTTAGATCAGTCTAGTCTTTTCTTTTAAGCACCATTAAAATGTCAGCTGAACATTTCCACTTATATATCTAGAAAGCACCTCAAAACCACATGGTCTCTCTCTCTCTCTCTCTCTCTCTCTCTCTCTCTCTCTCTCTCTCTCTTTCACACAGACACACACACACACACACACACACACACACACAACATAAATTTCTTCTCTTATCTCTTCCTCATAAAAGGCATCACCACCCAGTTGCTTGAGATAGAAAGCTGGTAGTTATCCTTGCCCCTCCCTCTGCCTCACCCAATTCATCAACAATATCTACTAGCATTATCTCCTAACCTTCTCTCAAGTCCAGTTGCTTTTCTCTCTTCAAGTAATGAACAACAGACCTGTTTAAATAAGGAAACTAAAACTAGGAGAACTTAAAAAAACTGCATAACATCACACAAGTGGTCAATGGTGAGGCCAATTCAGATGCTCCTCTGCCTCTAAACCCCATACCTGAGATTAGAGAATACCACCTCACTGAAGGGGGATTTTAAAGTAAAAAATATCTCCAAGAAATACAGATGAAACAACTGCAGGTCAGCTCAGAATCCCAGAGAAGGACACATAGAACCATGTGAGAAAGTGTCTTTCTCATCTGGTCCCAATAAGGGTTATCAAGTCACAAGCAACACAACCCCACAGTCTAGCTCTAAAAGAAAAGAGAATAATGATTTCAGAGGGCCAGCCCCAAGCATGTGTACACCTAAATCTACCTCAGATAGTCCGCACACTAGTCCTCCATGCCAAGCAGTGCCCAGAAATGAGGTGTTAGAACTGGGGACCTGTATGCAGTAAAGATATATGATCCTTTTGAAAGTGATTTACTTTTTGTAAGCTAAGCAAAGAGAAACTCATTGACCATGTTAATAATAGGGATCCAATGCATTTTTATTGCCTAGGGGTGACGGTGGCAGAAAGTAAACAAGTTCTAGAACTGATAAAGGGTCAGCAGAGATATAAAAATATCAGGGCCTGCTGTGGACACTGACCCAGTTACATCTGTATCTTCCCTTCACAGACCTCAGAACATTTGTGACAAAATAATTCTGAAGAATTGTTTCTGGCCGGGCGTGGTGTCTCAAGCCTGTAATCCCAGCACTTTGGGAGACCGAGGCAAAAGGATTGCCTGAGCTCAAGGGTTCAAGACCAGTCTGGGCAACTTAGTGAGACCTTGTCTCTACAATAAATCAAAAAATAAGCCGGGTATGGTAGCATGCACCTGTAGTTCCAGCTACTTTGAAGGCTGAGGCAGAAGGATTGCCTGAGCGCAGCAGGTCGAGGTTGTGGTGACCGTGAGCATGCCACTGCATTCCAGCCTGGGCAACAGAATGAGACTCCAACTTAAAAAAAAAAAAAAAAAAAAAAAA